GACAGAGGGAAGTGAACCAGTGAAGAACGAATCTATACCCGAAGGAGAAGGAGCCCCTACTCGGCCCGCTACACGGGTTTAAGTATCCCCTCATACTGCAGGTGACCTTGCGCTCCCAATCCCGACCGTAATCCCCTGGAATGTGCACCAGGAAACCAGTAATATGGCAAGCCTTTATAACGTGCTCCACTTGTAGTCTAGAATAATTTAAATTATGCCATGCAGCAGTTTTTTGCCAAATATACCGCCCGACAGTTTCTGTCAGCCAAACAGTTTAGATAAACATACTTGAGATGCTGACGAGCCATCATTTTTGGTCTAATTAGATCATTAGTATGAACAAGAGGCCTTACACAGTTTATGAATTATCTCTACCAGGCAGCTAAAATTACGGATTGCGTTTTAAGACGAGCCTATCTTGCTGCTTCTACACATTAATTTCCACGAAAGTTTGCGGGCTACGTGACTTTCCCTCGCCGTTTACCTACTTGCAGCGAGATTCTACTTTGGGTCCTAGAAATTGTTTAAATAATCGAATGCTTTCGCAACGAAATGACACGCTATGAATAAATACAGAAATTTAGTTACATTTTTGTTTGCTTATAGCTTATTAGATGCGAGAAAGTTGGATATTTTTTACTTACTTATATTTTATAGTTTATTGGGTTTCTTTATATTTCTGAATTAAAAATTTGGTGGTTAGGAGGTCGTCTGCTTCAACTTACCTGAGGTCGAGCTTACCGTTCTGGAGTTAGATTAGTATAGTTCGCAGCGTGAAGCGCCGCGCACACCTTCAATTTACATGCGCAATAGCTTTACGTTAGTTTATTTTATTTGTTTAAGTTATTCATATTTAAGTTAAGTTTTCAGTTTAGTTTCAGTTCATTATTATGTTCACTATTTTTATTTTAGTTAAGTGAGTTTAGCTTATTTTAGTTAACGTTTTTAGTTATTTGATTTTCGATGTAGTTAGTTCTCCATATTTGCATACTTGCACATTTAATTGTGGCGCGCTTTATTGTTGACGGAGATTAGATTATTCAAAGAATTTTTCCTATTTTATATTTTTATAAACTTTGCTTTTTTGTTTATATTTCCTTTCCTTTCCAAACTGTGTACTCTTTAGTACATCCGGGCCTGTATTACAGAAAGGTGGAGCTTTCACGTGTTGATCTGAGATCCAAAGTAGGATTATACCTACTGACTACTTTATTAAGTTTTTTTCATCAGTATTTCGTCCGCAATCAAAAACAACCCTTCCGACATTTTCCGCTAACTTCGATGGCTTGCTTAAGCTTATTTCTCTTAATTTGTGAGCAGAACGAAAAGTACATAAGCGTAAGGAGCCATTCGTTATTAGTTTTGTTCCAGTTGAGCAACCGGCCATGCGGTTGTTAGGTAGATTAGATTATGATGACATAGGTGCTGTCTCCTTTTCAGACTTAGTTTCCCTCCGTCCAATGACCATTGCGGATTTCCAGAAAACTCACTCAAGGTGCACTCAACTATGACTTAGAGCGTCAAGGCAAAGAGGCGAAGTCAGTCAGCTTGCTAAAGGACGCCACAGGCTCAAAGACTGACAGTTGGGCGGGCCCTTTCCCGTCTGATGTGCTCTCTGTCTTTCCATCATAATTGTTTTTCCTGCGCCTGCCTATCATTATCCTGCCAAATCACTGTTTAACGGTAAAGGCCGGTTGATGAATAATGTCAAATGTGCATTTAGATGGACTGCCATGTGCAATTCACCACTAGTTAGACCAGGGCCGAAGGCTGGAGACGCGGAACTCAGCAAACTAGACTGAGACCTTCTAAATGATACTAATGATAGCTCATGCTGTCCTTAAAAAAACTGCCTGGACAAGTAATTGTGGTCACCTAATGCAATTACCCGCCCTGTCCCCTCCTGTCAAAAATAAACCGTTAGTAGTGTTACTCCCATGCATATAAATATCCCATAATCGTTTTAGCATACACGTAGATTGTCCCCAGTATTCGATGAGGGACATAATCGTCACAGTGAGTTTGTGGTTTATTATTGAATGAGAGTCCTCGGTGGATCTTGTTAAGTAGCATGATGAACTGCCTTAATATATTTACATTGAATCTAAGCCTGTGTTGAAAACAGGATAGATTGGAG